TGTTCCTGTTGTGTTGTGTTTTCTCCTCATGTGGTCCCCATGACCCAGTTTCTTCCTCTCTTTCCTCTCGTTTGATTAGTCATTTGCTTCAGGTGTGTCTCGTCAATTACCCTCATTTAGTCTTGTGTATATACAGTATAGTAGTGTGTGTTCCTGGTTTCCTTTGTTCAGTGTTAACGTCATGTTGTACTCCCATGCTGTGTGCTACGTGTGTCTCCTGCCTGCCCTGTGTTCCCCTTTGTTTTGGATCGTTAAAGATGTTCTACGTATATCTCCTTCGTCTCCGTGCTCCTTCGCTCCTACACTGTAGACAGCGTGACAACTATCACTGAAGATTCCAGATGGATTTTGCAGTAACAAGCACATCATCAGATACATTTAAACTGAGTCGCTAACCATCCACATGCACCATTTATTTAACAGGTAGTTGATCATTTCACCATTTTGACTCATAATTGCAATGGTTTGCCTGACCAACCACACGTTACTTTCTTGAGCATGTTACCCTCAAATTGAAATGAAATCATAAAGATATTGCAAACCATAACACTGTACCCAACATAGTTGACAATATAGTGCTTAACAACAGGCTATTGTAGATTAAAAACTGAAAAACAAATCCACCACAGAAGAAATAACATAAGATGTTGGTGTCGTGATAAATCTAGTCAGTAAGTAAAACTTAGTAGAACTTTTGTGGAAAAGAAAAAATCAATTTAAAAGCTTTATTTTTCTTAAGTGTTTATATTTTAGAAATACATTTAATACAAATAATGTTAACATTAAACTCGACACCCACTCACTTCAAAAATGGACCGCAAAAATTTTAATTTTAAGGAACATCGAGGCAATTGCAAGCATTATAAGCAGTGTTGGGGAGTAACTAGTTACATGTATCGGAGTTTTGTAATTTAATTACAAAATAAATGTAACTGTAATCTGTTACAGTTACTGAGAAAAATTACAGTTAGTTATGAAACTGTTAACGATTTCAAAGGGGGTTACATCTGAGTATTTTCACACACACACACACACACACACACACACTCACACTCACACTCACTCACACACACACTCACTCACACTCACACTCACACACACTCACACTCACACTCACACTCACTCACACACACACACTCACACACTCACTCACACTCACACTCACACACACTCACACTCACACTCACACTCACTCACACACACACACTCACACACTCACTCACACTCACACTCACACACACTCACACTCACACTCACACTCACTCACACACACACACTCACACACTCACTCACACTCACACTCACACACACTCACACTCACACTCACACTCACTCACACACACACACTCACACACTCACTCACACTCACACTCACACACACTCACACTCACACTCACACTCACTCACACACACACACTCACACACTCACTCACACTCACACTCACACACACTCACACTCACACTCACACTCACTCACACACACACACTCACACACTCACTCACACTCACACTCACACACACTCACACTCACACTCACACTCACTCACACACACACACTCACACACTCACTCACACTCACACTCACACACACTCACACTCACACTCACACTCACTCACACACACACACTCACACACTCACTCACACTCACACTCACACACACTCACACTCACACTCACACTCACTCACACACACACACTCACACACTCACTCACACTCACACTCACACACACTCACACTCACACTCACACTCACTCACACACACACACTCACACACTCACTCACACTCACACTCACACACACTCACACTCACACTCACACTCACTCACACACACACACTCACACACTCACTCACACTCACACTCACACACACTCACACTCACACTCACACTCACTCACACACACACACTCACACACTCACTCACACTCACACTCACACACACTCACACTCACACTCACACTCACTCACACACACACACTCACACACTCACTCACACTCACACTCACACACACTCACACTCACACTCACACTCACTCACACACACACACTCACACACTCACTCACACTCACACTCACACACACTCACACTCACACTCACACTCACTCACACACACACACTCACACACTCACTCACACTCACACTCACACACACTCACACTCACACTCACACTCACTCACACACACACACTCACACACTCACTCACACTCACACTCACACACACTCACACTCACACTCACACTCACTCACACACACACACTCACACACTCACTCACACTCACACTCACACACACTCACACTCACACTCACACTCACTCACACACACACACTCACACACTCACTCACACTCACACTCACACACACTCACACTCACACTCACACTCACTCACACACACACACTCACACACTCACTCACACTCACACTCACACACACTCACACTCACACTCACACTCACTCACACACACACACTCACACACTCACTCACACTCACACTCACACACACTCACACTCACACTCACACTCACTCACACACACACACTCACACACTCACTCACACTCACACTCACACACACTCACACTCACACTCACACTCACTCACACACACACACTCACACACTCACTCACACTCACACTCACACACACTCACACTCACACTCACACTCACTCACACACACACACTCACACACTCACTCACACTCACACTCACACACACTCACACTCACACTCACACTCACTCACACACACACACTCACACACTCACTCACACTCACACTCACACACACTCACACTCACACTCACACTCACTCACACACACACACTCACACACTCACTCACACTCACACTCACACACACTCACACTCACACTCACACTCACTCACACACACACACTCACACACTCACTCACACTCACACTCACACACACTCACACTCACACTCACACTCACTCACACACACACACTCACACACTCACTCACACTCACACTCACACACACTCACACTCACACTCACACTCACTCACACACACACACTCACACACTCACTCACACTCACACTCACACACACTCACACTCACACTCACACTCACTCACACACACACACTCACACACTCACTCACACTCACACTCACACACACTCACACTCACACTCACACTCACTCACACACACACACTCACACACTCACTCACACTCACACTCACACACACTCACACTCACACTCACACTCACTCACACACACACACTCACACACTCACTCACACTCACACTCACACACACTCACACTCACACTCACACTCACTCACACACACACACTCACACACTCACTCACACTCACACTCACACACACTCACACTCACACTCACACTCACTCACACACACACACTCACACACTCACTCACACTCACACTCACACACACTCACACTCACACTCACACTCACTCACACACACACACTCACACACTCACTCACACTCACACTCACACACACTCACACTCACACTCACACTCACTCACACACACACACTCACACACTCACTCACACTCACACTCACACACACTCACACTCACACTCACACTCACTCACACACACACACTCACACACTCACTCACACTCACACTCACACACACTCACACTCACACTCACACTCATTTAATCAGTTAAATTACTTTTAATGTAATAAATAATATATTAATTTATAATAATTAATAAAGTAACTGAAGCTACATTACGTATTATTACATTTTAAATAGGGTAACTTGTAATCTGTAACCTGTTACATATCTAAAGTAACCTTCCCAGCACTGATGATAACTGCTTTTCCTTAAAGTATAAAATGTGATTTATAATGGACATTAAATGTACTCAGCTCAGCTCAACTGATACTGGTCTCTAATCTGGGTTGTAAATGTGTTACAATCACTGATGAGATACAGTGGGGTTCAGTCAGTCCGCCCGGCCGCAGGGGGCGCTGTGCGGCTGCAGCATCCCGCGAGAATCAGGAGGAGAAGAGGAAGAACATCCGGGCATTGTTCCGTCGCAGGAGAAACGGCTGACAGGAGCGTTCTGCTACGCACCACAGAGAGCTCCTTTCTTTACTCTCGACATGGCGGCAAGTATTTCTGTTTGATTATTGTTTGGGGCGGGATTATATTCGACAGAAGCATGTAATTCCCCACACAGTAGCTCTGCGCTCTGAGCGAACAACAAACCTGCTGTCTTCAGATTAGCAGGCTAGCGGCTAACACTCGATAATAATCAGCGAGCGCTGTAATACTCGTGAGTTATTGTGGCTCTGTGGTCGTGTCCCAGCAGGCACCTGAGGCCGGGCTGCAGGAGGCTCTGCTCTCGGATGAAGAGCGGCGGCGGAACTCGAAGCATCGCTCCAGATCACGATCGCCCGACCGGAAGCGGAAGTCAGGTATACCGGGTTCATGAAGAATGAAAATATGTAAACAGTCACTTGACAAGCCTTAAACACCGTCTACACAGTAATTAATTCGTATGTTTTGGTCTTGTAGGAGACAAGAGGCACAGACGCAGCCACAGCAGAAGCAAAGAGGTAACTAACTTTAGTCCATTGATGTCATGTCGAGCTAAATTAAACTGGTCGCATCATCAGTAGTCTTACACTCACACACACTCACACTCACACTCATTTAATCAGTTAAATTACTTTTAATGTAATAAATAATATATTAATTTATAATAATTAATAAAGTAACTGAAGCTACATTACGTATTATTACATTTTAAATAGGGTAACTTGTAATCTGTAACCTGTTACATATCTAAAGTAACCTTCCCAGCACTGATGATAACTGCTTTTCCTTAAAGTATAAAATGTGATTTATAATGGACATTAAATGTACTCAGCTCAGCTCAACTGATACTGGTCTCTAATCTGGGTTGTAAATGTGTTACAATCACTGATGAGATACAGTGGGGTTCAGTCCGCCCGGCCGCAGGGGGCGCTGTGCGGCTGCAGCATCCCGCGAGAATCAGGAGGAGAAGAGGAAGAACATCCGGGCATTGTTCCGTCGCAGGAGAAACGGCTGACAGGAGCGTTCTGCTACGCACCACAGAGAGCTCCTTTCTTTACTCTCGACATGGCGGCAAGTATTTCTGTTTGATTATTGTTTGGGGCGGGATTATATTCGACAGAAGCATGTAATTCCCCACACAGTAGCTCTGCGCTCTGAGCGAACAACAAACCTGCTGTCTTCAGATTAGCAGGCTAGCGGCTAACACTCGATAATAATCAGCGAGCGCTGTAATACTCGTGAGTTATTGTGGCTCTGTGGTCGTGTCCCAGCAGGCACCTGAGGCCGGGCTGCAGGAGGCTCTGCTCTCGGATGAAGAGCGGCGGCGGAACTCGAAGCATCGCTCCAGATCACGATCGCCCGACCGGAAGCGGAAGTCAGGTATACCGGGTTCATGAAGAATGAAAATATGTAAACAGTCACTTGACAAGCCTTAAACACCGTCTACACAGTAATTAATTCGTATGTTTTGGTCTTGTAGGAGACAAGAGGCACAGACGCAGCCACAGCAGAAGCAAAGAGGTAACTAACTTTAGTCCATTGATGTCATGTCGAGCTAAATTAAACTGGTCGCATCATCAGTAGTCTTACACTCACACACACTCACACACACTCACACACACACACACACACACACACTCTCTCACTCACTCACTCACTCACACTCTCACTCACTCACACTCTCACTCACTCACACTCTCACTCACTCACACTCTCACTCACTCACACTCTCACTCACTCACACTCTCACTCACTCACACTCTCACTCACTCACACTCTCACTCACTCACACTCTCACTCACTCACACTCTCACTCACTCACACTCTCACTCACTCACACTCTCACTCACTCACACTCTCACTCACTCACACTCACACACACTCACACTCACACACTCTCACACTCACACTCACACACTCACTCTCACACACTCACACTCCCACACTCACTCTCACACACACACTCACTCACACTCACACACTCTCACTCACACTCACACTCACACACACTCACACTCACTCTCACTCTCACTCTCACTCTCACTCTCACTCTCACTCTCACTCTCACTCTCACTCTCACTCTCACTCTCACTCTCACTCTCACTCTCACTCTCACTCTCACTCTCACTCTCACTCTCACTCTCACTCTCACTCTCACTCTCACTCTCACTCTCACTCTCACTCTCACTCTCACTCTCACTCTCACTCTCACTCTCACTCTCACTCTCACTCTCACTCTCACTCTCACTCTCACTCTCACTCTCACTCTCACTCTCACTCTCACTCTCACTCTCACTCTCACTCTCACTCTCACTCTCACTCTCACTCTCACTCTCACTCTCACTCTCACTCTCACTCTCACTCTCACTCTCACTCTCACTCTCACTCTCACTCTCACTCTCACTCTCACTCTCACTCTCACTCTCACTCTCACTCTCACTCTCACTCTCACTCTCACTCTCACTCTCACTCTCACTCTCACTCTCACTCTCACTCTCACTCTCACTCTCTCTCTCACACTCACTCTCACTCCTTGTTCTCAGGGTTTTAATGTGTAATTTCTGTGTTCCAGATTAAAAACGTGCTGAACTCTGCCCGGCTGCTGGGCGACGCTTCGGTTTCATTCACTAATAACTGTGTGTCTGGAATCAAGGCCGATACAGAGAGAATCAACAAGCTGATGAACGAGTCTCTGGTGCTGGGCACGGCGCTGAACCCGCACATAGGTAACCACAGCAGAGGGCGCCAGAAACACTTTATTCCTGAATCCAGATGAAGATCTGAGCAAATCAGGGGCCAGTTGTTCAGAAAGTGTAATCTGGATAAGATCTCCAACCCATCTTAAACCCGTCTTACTTTTGTGCTGGTTTTTCAAAGCAAAACTGGATTGGATCACCCTGATCCAGATACACATTATTCCAGATTTCCAAATCTGGATTACTAGAGCTCTACGGAGCCCCTAAAGGGACATGCTGATGGAGAAAAACATGCTAATATTTAGCATTGCATTTACACAAATAACTGCTTCTGACTGCTCCATCTCTGATGATTGTGCTGATGTAGTCATTTAAATTTTTTTTTAAATATAATATTTTTGTTTGAATTTGGGGATACATTACATGCTACATATGTTGCATTTTTGGGCCAGTTTTTAAGTTTTACTACATTTTTGTTCCAGAAATCCACTCTTCTGCTGGGATCAGAATAATCCAGTTTTCTGGATCGAAAGTATCCCAATCTTACTAAAACATTTTGAACAGCACAAACTGAGAGTTTAATCCAGATCTAAAACAAGATTGGATTTTGTGATCTAATCTGAATTCAGAATCCTTTGAACAACCCATTCTCAAGATTTGATCCAATCTGACGGCCAGCATCCGATCGGAGTGCTTTTGAACAACTGGCCCAGAGCTGCTTTGGGTTGCAGCAGAACCTGCTTGTGTATTAATGCATAGATCACACACACACACACATGCTCACGCTCACTAAACTCCTCAGCTTTCAGTGACAACTCAATTTTTGAAGATTCTCCATTTGAACAGCGAGAATAAGACACTGATATCACTGCAGTCCTGTTTCTGAACACAGCCTTTACTTACTAAGAGCTTGTATCCTGTTTTCAGCATTCTGCACTGTCAACTAACACACACACACACACACACACACACACACACACACACACACACTCACTCACA